CACCGCGCCCCCTGCCGGCCTCCTGGGCAGCGCCGGCCGCTTCAAGGCCTCCAGCGTGGCGGGCTCCTGGGTTTGCCCGCGGCCCCTGGCGCGCAGCGACTCCGAGAACGTCTACGAGGCCATCCCCGACGTGCGCTGCTGCCCTCCGCGGGAGGAGAGACCCAAGCAGGTAGGACGCCGCGAGCGAGGGCACGGGAGGGGAGGTCACAGTCTCGGAGAGCCCAAAGGATTTCTTGACTGAGGTCGTCGTTTGTCCCTTCGTCGTGAATATTCAGGTTTTCGTGCAAAATTGCAAATGGACTTGATTGCTGGGTGCTGTCCCGAACCCTGCCGGGAGATGAACTAACCTAGGACAGGCCCGTGCACCGAATAACGTCCCTAAAATGCCACTCTGACTCTTGTTCCCCTTTAGAAGCTCGAGGTGGAGGTCGGGTCAGATGAGATGGTAGACGGGAAGGTCGAGCATCTGCTTCTCTTTGAGGCAATTTCCAGTATTTCGGTTCCTGTGAAACAAAACAAAACTCTTTATGGGCCTTTTTTTTTTTTTTTCGAGTTCAGTTACAGAGAGATCTCTCTTTCGGAGTCCGATTGTGTTTATCTGAGACATAGGAAAACAGCGCGTTTTTAAACACTTGTAGCCTCGGAATCCTCTTGCTGCGTCCTGTCATCTTAAACTTTAGGGAGAGATGGCCTGCAGGAGGAGGGGGGATACCCCCAGTGGGTTAACATCTGCCATTCGCTGTGGCATTACCCACAACTCACTTCCTCTCTCAGGCACTGAGTCCCGGGTGCCCTCACCCAGGAGGTGCGACCCCATGGGCCAGCTACTTGGCCTTGTGGCTTGTCCTTGCGGCAGAGTTCAGGTTTTGCGGCTACTGAAACTCGAATTTGACTCTGCTGGGTCACCTGCCAGTTGCTGACGAGCTCGGTGTCCTCGTAAGTAAACAATACCCAGTGAGGCGTGGAAGCGCTTGGCACCAGCCAGGGGGAGCAGCTAGGGTCCCGCTGCCTCGGCGCTGGCAGCTGCTTTGAGCCTCTGCGCTCAGGTTTCCGAGGATCACCCCTCCTCCTGGTGGCCACTTCGGAGAACAACACTCAGCCGGCTTAAGTATCTGTGGCCGATCAATAGTCGTTCTGTTTATCCCCCAGCCCAGGCGTCCGTCCGTGGTATAGACGGCTAAACGCCCGCCCGTGCTTGGTTCTCCGGAGCCCTTGAGCTGGCTCCCTTCCTCTAAAGAACTCCCGGATCTTCCCATGAGTTCCTTATCTGTGGTAAATGGCCCCGTGTGCTGAATTCTGGCCAAGGGATTGCTCACACTGTGTTAAGAAGTGAGGAGCTGCAACACCTTCTCCTATGAACCAGGACTATGAAAGTCTGTCCAAAGGCCGTTATCCAGGCTCTGGGACCAAACAGAAAAACTATCCCCCAGATGCTAGAATCTCCTGGGAAATCTCAGCTACCAGAATCCCTGACCTTTCTCCATCCTTCCTCCAGCTCCCTGCGGGTTCCCAGGTGTGAGTAGTTTGGGACGCAGTTGAGGGTGGTCTGGTACTGACACAGAAGGAACCAGTAAGTCTGCCAAAGAGCTGGATGCTGGGCAGATAGGCTGCTGCTGGCTCTCATTAACTCTGTGGCCCTGCTTGCTCCCGTGTGCTGAGTATAACAATAGCACATTCTCTGCTGACACCCTGTCCCCAGCAGACTGTAGGGATGGTGAATTTGTTCTCCCTTGGGAAGGAAACCCCACCCCTGCCCTTCCTTGTCCCAGGCAGCATGGGAAAGAATTTCCTGAAAGGTGAGCATGGCAATTTTCCAGAGGGCATAGATGCGCGCGCGCGCGCGCGCGCGCACACACACACACACACACACACATCCCTGTTGCTGGCAGTTTCTTGTCCCACCATGTCCTGCCACACTTCAGCCCCAAATAAACACACGGATGCTATATTAATTATAGAACTACTGGCCGATGGCTAGGGCTTCTTATTGGCTATCTCTGTCTTCATTATTAAGCCATAACTAATAATCTATGCATTTCTACATGGCCTTATCTTACCAGAGAACGCCTGGCGCATTCTCCTCCCAATCTCCACATGGCAACTTTCCGAGATCCCTCTCTGCCTACCTTTCCCAGGATTCTCCTCATCTCCTAGTACTGCCTATCTTCCTGCCTCTACTGGTTATTGGCCAAATAGTGTTTTACTCATCAACCAATAAGAGAAACATATATACAGAATGACACCCCCCATCATATCCCCTGCTCATACTCCAAGTTACTCACACTCCCCACCCTCACTCTTACCTCCTCACAGCCCTCAGCCGTGACCCCCCAAGTCCATCTGCTTACTCTTGCTTGTTCATTAGGCATGAATTGATCAGATACCTCCCAAGTGCCCCAGTGAGCCTTCAGACCTAGGGATGATGATAGCACAAAAAAACAGCCCTGAGAGGTACCCTGCCTGGGATAGTACCCCCATGGCAGACAATAGATACTCCTGTCCCACGTAGTTCAGGCGGTGTGGAGCTATGCTGAGGGGGCTGTGGAGCAAGAGCGGAGGAGAGGTGTGGACAGGCCTTCACGGAGGTTTCATAGTTCTGTCTTAACCCACGGTTTGCACTGGCTGTGGTATCTACCATCATGCAGGGCTTTGTGGGAATTTGGACTTTATCCTGCACCTCCTGGAAGGCTCGTAGTAGGGAAGGGGGCGGGCTTGAGAAGGTCTCCTGTGCTCAGGGCTATAATACGTGGTGATAATGGGAGGGTCACAGAGTCTGAGGCCAGGGAAGAGCAGCTGGGCGGCTGAGGCCTAGCTTGCCACTCACACTGGTAGGCAGGCAATGACACTATTTCAGAGGCATGGGGTAGAGAAAAATGGGGTGCACCTGAATATAACTTACAAAAGGAGGAAAAGAGGAACTCAGGGGGAAACAAAGGTACCAAAGAGGATAAGCAGAAGCCTAAAAGCCAAGACGAATGCGCAGAAGTTCAAGTTAGACAAAGGCCATGGGACATTAGGTGACATGGCCACCAGAAGGCCAGCTTGTCAAGGGACTGCAGAAGACATTGTGTGTCAGGAGCTGAAGGGGATGCCGAGGGGAGGCAGACGGCAACTGTTAGGTAGACGAGAGGGAGGTACGCTGTGGTCAGGGTGAGAGGGTGAAATGATCAAGGTATCCCAAAGTCTAAGTCACCGGACAAGGCCAGAGCGAGGAAGGCAGAGGCAGAAGGAATGGGGGTGATGCTGAGGCAGGAGGGGCAGGAGGGGTGCTGAGTCTGGAGGATAGAGCTGGGCAGGCTGAGGCAGGAGGAGGGATGGTTAGACTGGATCCCTGGGAGAAGGGAGTGACTGGAAACCAGAGCAAAGGTGTGAACCACGAGGTGTCAAAGGTGAGAGGGGATCAGATGGGTGTGTCCATATATCAGCTCTGTCCTTCAGGCAGGCCACCCAGCAGGCATACCCAGAGAAGAAGGGAGCCTGTACCACATTTAGTATTTCGTGTTCACAGCTCATGCAAGTACTCCACACTACATCTGGGGTATGCTGGTCACGGAGCTGGACACAATGGACCCAAGGTGTAGTAAGACACAGCCCCAGGGACTAACAGTCCAATGTCCTCTCACTCAGAGGCCTGCACACACAGCTCAGCGCCTAGCAGCTCAGAAGGAAGCATGGGACACCCTTTTGTCTCCAAAACAAACAGGACCATAGAGGAAGTGTGTTCAGATCAGACCCAGGCCTCCAGACTCCAAATCCCACCCTAGCCGGGCAAGTTTAGATTCAGGGAAATGGCCTTCAGAGGTGGCTAGCCTTGTTCCTCTGGGCCAGAACAGTGCGGGGCAGAAGACAAGCAAATCCACTTTTTCTGAGCACAGTGCCCAGCCCTGCAATCCTTCAGCCATCACTGCAGACATCCAGGTTACAGCAGGGAGATTAGATAGTCAGGAGGCCACAGCCAGAGCTCCTGACAGGGTTAGGCCCACACAGGAAGCCAAGAGACAAAGAGGCCTCTGGGGCCATGTCTGTAATCCCAGCTCCTCGGGAGGCTGAGAAAGTAGGATCCCATTTTCAAGGGTCCTTGGGCTACAGAGTGACTACAAAGCCAGTCTGGAGCACTTAGTGAAACTATCAAAATAAAGGGTAAAAAGAGAGCTGGGATGTATACAGCTTAGTCCACACCTAGAATGTTTAAGACTCAGGGTTCAATCCCCAATGCTGCCCTCCCCCTGTGGCCTCTGGCCTCCTTAGCTAGTAGATTTAGGGGTGTGGTCAAAATGCCGGCCTTAGTCTTGGAGGTGGGAAGGCCCAGGGCACAGATGGACTAGAGCCCGCCCCTGTTGCCTGGGCATTGGCTACTGGCAGGACAGGTTACAGACCTTGCTGGGAACTTATGCAAACAGCCCGGAGGCACTGCTCCTGAGAGCTTGGATCTAGTCGGAACTAGAAGAAGCCCCCTGGGCCCTCCCATCTGAGCCTCAGGAACTGTGAGTGATCCCTCCCGGGTATTGGGATTCCTGGGGAAGACTCACTGGCCTCCCTCCTGAGTTCCCCACCTGAGCCCTCCCTGTCCTGTATACTTCCTGGGACAAACGTCTCAGGGACAGACCCAAGCAACCTTGAAAAACTGGGGAATCAATAAAGCAGGGAGTAGAGGCCAAATTAGGGAGATCCAGTGAGATGTCCCTGTCCTGTCCCAGGTCGCTCACCCCCCCCCACACACACACACCCCACCTCACCCCACCTCACGTCTACCCAGTCTCCTAACAGTGATTCTGGGTGGCTCAGCTGGTCTCTCTATACCCGTCCTGGTCTTTTCCTTCCTGTTGACCCAGGGGTCCCAGGACCTAGCCCCTGGCTAGGGGGAGAGCAGAAAGAACAGGTCCATCCCCCGCTCCTGCCCCCCAGCCTTACCTACCTGGTTACTCAGAATGCTCCTACTCACTGCCTTCACCCCTGCAAGCTGGGTGGCTATCCTGTGTCCTCTAGATCCTAGAGGGCTGAATTCTTGCTCATTCTTGGTCTCCAGTTGCCTTTAACCTCTTAGCCTTCAAGCTGTATCTCAGGACCAGCTCACTCCTGCCCCTCCCATCCGAACTCTGGACTTTCCTTTTCCCTACCCTCTGTTCAAGAGTGGGAGAGAGGGGGACAGTCCTCAGTGCCAAATGTCAG